CGCAACACACATTCATTACTACAGAAAATATCTAGATACCTTGCAGATATGCACCCAAAATGAATACGCTTTCGGAATGGAAGTGAATACGTGGAGCAATATGTAGAACTTCTTATTTTAACCTTTACATTTTTCTCTCAAATTCACATACAATTCAACACATATGAAAGAATTCATATAACTTTGAAGATACATGGGAGTACTATCTACGATCAATATCAAAAGAACATACAATAGTTAGTTACACCATATTGGAGTAAGCATGTGCTTGAGCAACTTTGCTCGACATTAAACATTGTCACATCTAAATATCACCATATTGGAGTAAGCATGTGCCTGAGAAACTTCATAGTGTTTGTTTTATCTCTTATCCATTGTTCTGGTTCAAAAAAAAACTTAAGAGTTAATGAGAATGATGTAAACGGAGTTTACCTGATACAAGCATCTTCTTGTTATTCACAAGTATGGACATCATTAAACAAGCCAACCCGCTAAATTCTCTTGATTCTTTGTGGACACATGCACTCATGCGTGTGCATGAACACTCTGCACTCATTCAGAATCACTAATGGTTAAATTAGTTGAAGCTCTACCACTTGATTTGAAAATATAGGCGGATAGAATTGATATTTTCAGTTAAATCTTTTTGATATAGTTTCTTTGTTGGGCAATAACACAAAATTTTTCCAGTGAGACTAGAGCAGCAGTGGAGATAATTTTGAAGCTTGTGGTAGTTGTCTAGNTCTGCACTCATTCAGAATCACTAATGGTTAAATTAGTTGAAGCTCTACCACTTGATTCGAAAATATAGGCGGATAGAATTGATATTTTCAGTTAAATCTTTTTGATATAGTTTCTTTGTTGGGCAATAACACAAAAGTTTTCCAGTGAGACTAGAGCAGCAGTGGAGATAATTTTGAAGCTTGTGGTAGTTGTCTAGGGTGGTTGGGACCAACTGAATCATAAAGGATTAGGTTAACTATTTTGATGTAAAGTTTGGAGCTTTGAGAAAGTAAGAAAGCGAGAGTGTGGCCATGATGCCTTTCCAACAATCTTATTTTTCAAAATCAACTTTGTTATCAAATAATTTTTTGTCTATTAGTCATATTTTAGGCTATTGGAGCCTTTTCATGTCTACTAGTAATTTTTTAGGCTCTCTCCGGTTGGTTATTTATTAGTACGAGGAGTTTCTTATCAATGTATTCTTTATGAAATTCCATTTTTTTGATGCATTTATTTTGTAGTTAATTTTTTTTTTGTATGAATAGATAGGTGATTAGAAGCACCTGACTTGTTTCCAAATTAGGACTTCCATCTTTCTTAGTGGATATCGAACACAAGTTGTTCATTGTATATGTCAGTGAAAATATTCTACTCTTTTCCTTACAAGTATGTGGCAATTATCTTTCTATGTATAGTTGTCGAACTCAATAATTGTTATTCTAGTAGTATTAATTAGGACCCAGTAGTTGTAGATTAAGTCCATTTAATATTTTCTTTTCACTTGTGTCATTTAATCCATGTTCAAAGAATCGTATGTCTGTACGACTCAATCAAGTTATATGCGACTTGGCTTATACTGTTCCACGTTCTACATGTACCACAAGTCTCACTTTCGTGGTTGACTCGGAAATGCCTAGGTCGACTAGGATGGGTCATCAAACGTGTCTCGTAGCATGTTACTCGATACTGTTTCGCGATGCAAGATTGGGCCAGAATTGCTTATCATATCCAACTTCTTTTATCTAGCACTTTTCATGTCACANTATTAATTAGGACCCAGTAGTTGTAGATTAAGTCCATTTAATATTTTCTTTTCACTTGTGTCATTTAATCCATGTTCAAAGAATCGTATGTCTGTACGACTCAATCAAGTTATATGCGACTTGGCTTATACTGTTCCACGTTCTACATGTACCACAAGTCTCACTTTCGTGGTTGACTCGGAAATGCCTAGGTCGACTAGGATGGGTCATCAAACGTGTCTCGTAGCATGTTACTCGATACTGTTTCGCGACGCAAGATTGGGCCTGAATTGCTTATCATATCCAACTTCTTTTATCTAGCACTTTTCATGTCACCTGATGTCATTCTACGACCAGTAGGCCTATCAATGGATTGAATTTCGATACCAATTCAAATTCAAATGTTTAGATATGGATCAATAGAATCCGAGTCCGAATCCGAATTCGTTTATGTACCCTTAGCTAAATCAGATTGGGATATACCAACATCCGATCTGAATACAAAAATAATATGTGGAATTTCATTTATACCGTAGATCACTTACAACTGAATACTGACCATTGATTTTTAACCTAAAGTTCTTTTCTGTTGTTTAGAATTCCAAATTTTCTCTCTCCATTCGCTATTGCTAGGCCATCCCTTTTTCTTTCAGCTTTTCTGAACTCTACCCGATCGNTTCTACGACCAGTAGGCCTATCAATGGATTGAATTTCGATACCAATTCAAATTCAAATGTTTAGATATGGATCAATAGAATCCGAGTCCGAATCCGAATTCGTTTATGTACCCTTAGCTAAATCAGATTGGGATATACCAACATCCGATCTGAATACAAAAATAATATGTGGAATTTCATTTATACCGTAGATCACTTACAACTGAATACTGACCATTGATTTTTAACCTAAAGTTCTTTTCTGTTGTTTAGAATTCCAAATTTTCTTTCTCCATTCGCTATTGCTAGGCCATCCCTTTTTCTTTCAGCTTTTCTGAACTCTCCCCGATCATCCCTCTTTCTCTNCTTATCCAAAATCTAACTAATTCAATAATAAAAATTATGAATCAAACATTGCTTTAGGAGTTCGTGACTTCGTCAATCTATCGTAATCCCTAGCTTGACTCATTCAGATTCTAGCAGATTTAGGTTGAATTGAAACCCAAAATATTAGGGCTTTCATTGCTCTTGAATTTTGGCACTCTTTTTCGTTGATTTTCGTTGGATAGATCAAGAAACCCAAAAATTTTCACATGAATTGAAACTCGAACTGCTTATTTTGTTGAATATCAAGAGAAAGGAAGAGGAGGAGAGGTGAGCAAAAGCGAGAATAAAGATGGAGATGGCNTTTTTTTTTTTTTTTGAATTGATTGTAATAAATGAGATGAGTTGCAAATGTTTAGGTGAATGATTATCAGATTTGACCAGATTATTAGATCGGATGTCTGAAAGTTAACAGATTCAGATATGGATTGACTTTTTCATATCCGTTGGATTATTGGATCAGATCGAATACACAAAATTTCAATCGAATTTGGATAGAGTAAAATCTGATCCATATCCGATTCGTTGACTGGCCTATCGACCCGTGCATATTAGCTCCATCATGAGTCAATGACTAGTATCTCGACTAGTCATCGGATCGAATTTTGACTGGATCGTGGTCCATCTGAATCTGAATTCATTTAGAAAATTTGGTCCAGAATTTGAACTGTTTATTCGGTGTATNTTTTTTTTTTTTTTTGAATTGATTGTAATAAATGAGATGAGTTGCAAATGTTTAGGTGAATGATTATCAGATTTGACCAGATTATTAGATCAGATGTCTGAAAGTTAACAGATTCAAATATGGATTGAATTTTTCATATCCGTTGGATTATTGGATCAGATCGAATACACAAAATTTCAATCGAATTTGGATAGAGTAAAATCTGATCCATATCCGATTCGTTGACTGGCCTATCGACCCGTGCATATTAGCTCCATCATGAGTCAATGACTAGTATCTCGACTAGTCATCGGATCGAATTTTGACTGGATCGTGGTCCATCTGAATCTGAATTCATTTAGAAAATTTGGTCCAGAATTTGAACTGTTTATTCGGTGTATTTTAAAAACTTAATCTGAATACGAATTCATTTACAATTAGACATCTAATCTGATAATCCAATCCGGTTTGATTGTAGTCGAATTTTACCAATAAAATTACNCAGATTTGACCAGATTATTAGATCGGATGTCTGAAAGTTAACAGATTCAGATATGGATTGACTTTTTCATATCCGTTGGATTATTGGATCAGATCGAATACACAAAATTTCAATCGAATTTGGATAGAGTAAAATCTGATCCATATCCGATTCGTTGACTGGCCTATCGACCCGTGCATATTAGCTCCATCATGAGTCAATGACTAGTATCTCGACTAGTCATCGGATCGAATTTTGACTGGATCGTGGTCCATCTGAATCTGAATTCATTTAGAAAATTTGGTCCAGAATTTGAACTGTTTATTCGGTGTATTTTAAAAACTTAATCTGAATACGAATTCGTTTACAATTAGACATCTAATCTGATAATCCAATCCGGTTTGATTGTAGTCGAATTTTACCAATAAAATTATAGCAGAATATCATCCAATAATCAAATTAAATTCCAACAAACTATCATTCAATAATTAACAATTTTGCCAAATTTTAACTAGATTTTAACCAAATTACAGTAATCAATTACTCAATTCCAAAAATATCCGTTCCATTTCATCTCAATCTTATCCAAAATCTAACTAATTCAATAATAAAAATTATGAATCAAACATTGCTTTAGGAGTTCGTGACTTCGTCAATCTATCGTAATCCCTAGCTTGACTCATTCAGATTCTAGCAGATTTAGGTTGAATTGAAACCCAAAATATTAGGGCTTTCATTGCTCTTGAATTTTGGCACTCTTTTTCGTTGATTTTCGTTGGATAGATCAAGAAACCCAAAAATTTTCACATGAATTGAAACTCGAACTGCTTATTTTGTTGAATATCAAGAGAAAGGAAGAGGAGGAGAGGTGAGCAAAAGCGAGAATAAAGATGGAGATGGCAGAAGCGAGTAGAGGCTAGAGAAACATAAAGGAGCAAAGCGAGAGGAAGAAGAAAGAACATGCATGAGAAGGAAAGGCAAAGAGCTCAAACATTCGATAGAGAAGGGTGAAAAAGTTGTAGCTTGGGGGAGAAAAGAAAAAGAGGAGTACGGGTACAACTTTTTTCTAGAACTTGGTGCAAGTATAGTTGGATTGTCCAAAAACCTAAATGTACATGCACACACACACATATATAATAATAGTCAGATCAAATTTTATCGAATTATGTTAGCATATATCCATATCCAAATCCGATTAAAGAGGTTTAAACGGACTGGATTAATGGATTGAAATTTTGATCCATATTCGACTATTCGGATCGGATTCGGACCGAGATCTGCTCCATTGACAGACCTAATTTTGACCTTTTACCATGGTTCAAATCTTTTTTTTTTTAATATGAGAATTTACGAGGGTGAATTACACCCACGCTCCACATAGGTGGGGGGTATCAATAGGTTGGCTTCAATTGATTTTTTATTATCGTTGAACCAGCCCTATTGGGTTAAATCTATCGCTTAAACAACAGTTTTTTAANTAGATCAAGAAACCCAAAAATTTTCACATGAATTGAAACTCGAACTGCTTATTTTGTCGAATATCAAGAGAAAGGAAGAGGGGGAGAGGTGAGCAAAAGCGAGAGTAAAGATGGAGATGGCAGAAGCGAGTAGAGGCTAGAGAAACATAAAGGAGCAAAGCGAGAGGAAGAAGAAAGAACATGCATGAGAAGGAAAGACAAAGAGCTCAAACATTCGATAGAGAAGGGTGAAAAAGTTGTAGCTTGGGGGAGAAAAGAAAAAGAGGAGTACGGGTACAACTTTTTTCTAGAACTTGGTGCAAGTATAGTTGAATTGTCCAAAAACCTAAATGTACATGCACACACACACACATATAATAATAGTCAGATCAAATTTTATCGAATTATGTTAGCATATATCCATATCCAAATCCGATTAAAGAGGTTTAAACGGACTGGATTAATGGATTGAAATTTTGATCCATATTCGACTATTCGGATCGGATTCGGACCGAGATCTGCTCCATTGACAGACCTAATTTTGACCTTTTACCATGGTTCAAATCTTTTTTTTTTTAATATGAGAATTTACGAGGGTGAATTACACCCACGCTCCACATAGGTGGGGGGTATCAATAGGTTGGCTTCAATTGATTTTTTATTATCGTTGAACCAGCCCTATTGGGTTAAATCTATCGCTTAAACAACAGTTTTTTAATTATGGTTGCGAACAAAATTTCAACTTTTGTTATATTATTTGGCATCCAGAGGGGATAAAGAGGAAAGTCCAAAGTTTTAGACTAAGAAGCATGGGCACGAGACATGGATACAACATGACATGGACACACAAACACAATATTTCTCAAAAAAGTAGGACACAAACACGTTGGGGATACGCTATAAAAAATTATATTTTATATATAAGAAAGATTAATTTATCGCAAATATAGTGATATGCAATTCATAAAAGATTAAGTATTTTATGATAAGTAAATCTTATGTGTAGTCGTCTGTTTGAATTTTTAGACTAAAACATTATCATAATAGTCAATAATCATCAAATAATAGCTCTCATTTTCTCAATTCATCCTTTTTAAAATTTTTATACATCTTTTGTTTTTATTGTTATATTTGGAGTACAACTTTAACATGTCTAGTGTTAGTAATGATATGTTTTCAAAATTTTAAATTTTGTTAATCATATTTTAACACATGTTTATTGTTTAGTAGTAGACGCGTTCTAAATAAGTGTTAGACATGTCACCAAAGAAATGTCAAACACGTGTCAAAATTTAAAATTTTATCATTTAATTATAGACACAGATAAAAAGAGTATAGAACGTGTCCGAGAGTGTCGGTGTCTGACAAGGATACGTTACCTTCTCCAGAGTATCCGTGCGTCATAGGTTTTAGATGGTAAACAATTGCCTTGAAAAGTATTTCATATCCATAGAGCTTAATTACTTCTTTTTTTTTTTGATCACGAGCTTAATTACTGAAACTGTGGATTCTGGTTGTACTGACCTGGATATCATTGTTGGTCCACTGTATAGTATTTAGTAGGACTCACTGACCAACTTGTTTAATTAGGACATATCTATGGCCCCAGAACCTGCCCACCAGGGTTTTTGGGGATTTTCTTAATTAATTAGTATACCCTTTGTAAATTGCTGACTTAGGTGTCTTTCTATGCTTTTACATGTTTAACTTATATCCATGGGTTCTTATTGTTAATGATTTATGTTTTATTTCAATCCTCTGGTTGCTTTTCAAGATGCTTAATCAAAATATGTTTAGCAGTTCTTTCGGCTTCTGGTGGGATTAAGGTGGACCATCCCGAGCTGAGTAATGGTACTTCCCTACTCCTGAAGCTGAACATGTATTTGATTATTAAAATTTAAAATTTTTCTGAATCATTTGTTTTCAGTTCCTTCTTTTGCTTTCCGACTTTAAATTACTCAGTGCAACATTATGTGTGTTCTTTGTTGCAGATGTCGTTGTGATTATTGCTGTTGTCATATTAGTGGGTTTGTTTAGCATGCAACACTATGGTACAGATAAAGTTGGGTGGCTGTTTGCTCCAATTGTGCTCCTTTGGTTTCTCTTCATTGGAGGTATTGGCATATTCAATATTTGGAAGTATGATAGGCGTGTTCTGAGGGCCTTTTCACCTGTGTACATAGGCCGCTATTTTAGAAGGAGAGGCAAAGAAGGTTGGACCTCCCTTGGAGGGATCATGCTCAGTATCACAGGTTTTTTTCTTTTTCCTTTTTCTTTTGATTCTTACTTTTTTAGAGCTGTTGTTCAACTCGTCAACTTCACACAAAAAAGCTAGTTGCATTGTATTCTGATGACTGCTCATTAAATATTGCAGGGACAGAGGCACTTTTTGCCGACCTTGCTCATTTTCCAGTTCCAGCTGTACAGCTTGCTTTCACAATAGTTGTGTTTCCCTGCCTTCTTTTGGCTTATTCTGGACAAGCGGCCTACCTCGTAAATAACAAGGAGCATGTTATTGATGCATTCTATCGTTCTATTCCAGGTTTGTTCTGATATTCTGTTTTGCATTGACCTACATTGATATTACATCAAAAATGTATATGAAACCTTGAAGCAGCATATGAACCCAAACAGGAGTTTATGTACTTGACATCCTGTGGTGTTGCGTCTGAGCTTGGTCAACCATTGAAACTGTTGTTGGAATTGGGTCTCCCAAAAACTCTAGTGGGTTTCCCCACCACCTAAGACAAAGGAATGCTGGGAAGCATGTACTACACTGGCGCCAAAGGTTGCAACCATAATTATTTCTAGCTAAAAGGATATATAACAATGATTCAAATAGCATCACCTAAAATTTTATGAAGATTATTTCAGTTATGTGAACGCAAACTTGAGATATAGTAAAGAGATGTCCTGGTTACCTTATTGAATAAACTGATGACAGGTCAGCATCAAGTAACAAGAAGATAAACAGGACATCTTGTCTTGAAAAATATTGACCTGAAATATAGGGAATGGGAATGGAATATGCAAGCTTCTATATCGACAAATGCAGCAGAAATTATATTATTACACAAGTTGTACAAAAAAATTTCCCAGAATGGTGTGTTCGCTACTATTGTAGGCTTTGTAGCAAATGTTTCATACACATCCTTAAGGCCTTTTAATAGGCATGGAAATTCGAAAATGTGTGTCGCACAGATGGATGTCTTACGTTTGATCGGTCCCTCTTTCTCTCTCTCTCTCTAACTCTCTCTCGGACTGGATTCTGTATATTTGTCCTCTTGACCTCTCTTTGAACCTGATGCCAAGGGCGGAAAGGTAAGATAATCGAAGCCTATGAGATTGAGCCCTCCCTAGAGAGGTTGGGAAAAAAGAACCTGTAGCTGTGGCATTCCTTATGCTGTGAGGCTAGCCATGTGGTCACAATATACTATGTTTTACATGCTTTGTTGTTNATTTGTCCTCTTGACCTCTCTTTGAACCTGATGCCAAGGGCGGAAAGGTAAGATAATTGAAGCCTATGAGATTGAGCCCTCCCTAGAGAGGTTGGGAAAAAAGAACCTGTAGCTGTGGCATTCCTTATGCTGTGAGGCTATCCATGTGGTCACAATATACTATGTTTTACATGCTTTGTTGTGCTTGTATGTGACAACAACAGTTGACAATAATTTGAGCAGAGAAAACTAGACTTCTAGAGCATGAAATAACAATCATTTCCATTGTTTATTTTGGTGTTAAAAGATGCTAAGTTAATGGCGTGACCATAAATATCACATTCAAGGTGCTTTTGTTATGAAATATTTGTCTAGAATGATTTGATTGGAGAGAAATTCAAGAATTTTTTATGATAGGTATGAAGTGTTTCAAGGGCTTTGGAACCGAATTTACTTTTTTAGGAACTTTTTGGGCTTTGATTTCAAAGGAGTTTGCAAATATCCCTCTATTTGGAATTTTGGCAAATTGGAAGGCGACTTGTGATTGATTTGTTTGCTTTTTTCTCTATGTGCTGTTTTTGATGGTTTGTATTTTGGATGGATTACTTGTCCATGCATGAGTTTCACTTATACGCTATTTTTCTTTTAATAAAATTGTGTTTCCCATCAAAAAAAGAATGGAGTTGCTTTATTGTGGGGCGTTAATAATGGTGATTACAAACGCTCTCTATTCGATAACACCAAAAAAAATTTAGGAGTAAATTAATACTAGAAGCAACAAAATCGAAATTTGTATGTTCTAATCTTTGATTCAACCAAAATAAGCACCTAAGAATCACAGCATTGGAAGATAGGGGCTTAGGTTTTTGGGCTAGAGGGAAGGGATTCTATAATTGCAGATGCAGAGGAAGGATTGGGGTGGGGGGGGGGAGAGGGAGAGAGAGATGGTTCTGAACCAACCAGAAGTTGGACACGTTGCTGTACACATACATGCCACATCATTCTGTATGGCTTTTCTGTTTGATTTTCCTGTATGTGGAGCCTTACCCGAATAGAAAGAGATTACTTGGTTCAAATCATGAGAAATTGCTTGTAGAAAGTCCTAAGAAAGAAAGTTCACATATCTAGGTTCAAGAAAAATGCATTTTGGAATTGTTATTTACATACAATGTAATCAATCCAAATAACACATATGCTCTAATGCCCATTTGGTGCTCCACATTGAAAGGAAATCTTTCAAAATCTATCAATCTGTATTCTAAATGGGTCTATCTTACTTTTTGTTGCATTTTATATGTGTATATTGGGATAAATGTGGGGATGTCCTGGTCCTTGGAATGGTAATGGTATTTGGTTTGTACATTCTCAAAGAATGTAGGACAGGAGAAGGCTGATATAGATCACATAGTTGGTAAGTTGATGAGATAGTTCATCTTTTCATTTTAGTCAGTCGGTGATTAACGAAACATTGTGCAATTAAAATGGAGAGAGTTTTTAAATCCACTTCAAAGGTTTGTTGTACTGAAGATGATTTTATAAACGAAGATAACCACGTGTATCTTGTAAGATCTTCTTATGCTATAACTGTGTGCTTTTGATCACCTTTTGTTATTGATGTAACACGGCGCTCGGGCGCAGCATAACAAGTTTGGGCAGTGAAAAGATATAAGCTATTGTTCTTTTCTGGTAAGTTATCCTATATACAACAAGGAAGATGGGAGTAATAGGAGGCAGTGAGAAAGAGTAGAAGAAGAAGAAAATATATGAAATGCGAAGGGAGAGACAGATTTCCTAGCCTTGTACTTATGAGGCGAATGAAAGAGGGAT